TAAAAAAAAAACAGCAATTGGTGTATGCTTGGACATTTATTTGTAGGCATTTTTGTGACAAAACCACTGCCACTGGATCTTGAAGACACACATGTACACAAATATTCCCCTTATAGGAGTTGATGAGATGAAGAATGAGTTTCAGTTAGGATGTGTGATCAAATGAACTGGTGTTTCTTGGAATTTGATCACCAATGAAATGAAATTTGGGGGCTTTTTGGCACTGGCCAGTAATAAAATACATTATTAAAAGATGAAAAGTTCTTTGCAAAGGGTGTATTTTAGCGTGAGCTATGCCTTACAAAACAGTAGAGTTTTATTCTAAGACAAAACTGTTAAAAGAAGGAAAAGACAAAGCAAAACAGAGCCTTATGCTGATGGAAAGGTGGCTCCAGAATGCATAAGGGCTTTCTCTCAACCAACCACAAGTTAATTTCATAGGGGAAAAATAAGAGGGTCTATCAGAAAAGACACTGCTGGATCAGAGCCTCCAAACTCATCAGTGGGACTGTTTTTTTTTTCCCTTAAAAAAAAAAAAATCTATAGCCGGGCGCAGTGGCACACACCTGTAATCCCAGTGGTTCTAGAGGCTGAGGAGTTCAACGCCAGCCTCAGCAAAGCGAGGTTCTAAGCAGCTCAGTGAGACCTTATCTCTAAATAAAATACAAAATAGGACTGGGGACATGGCTCAGTGGTCAAGTACCCCTGAGTTCAATCACTGGTAACATTCCCCCCCAAAAAATCTGTGAAAATCTCCCCACAGACTCCACTTTAAATATGAAGCATCTGATGAGGAATGTCTTTCATCCTGTAATTTATTTCAGTAAAGAAGAAAAAAAGAGCAACATAATAAGTAAAGAGTAAATAAAATTAAAAATAATTAAATAATTAAAATGAGATTAAAATAAAATTATCTTTATGGAGTACATCATAATTACACATTACGTGATGTGTAGTTTCATAGGCTTGAATCCAGATTTGCCTCACTGAAACAATTTAGATGCATCTATTCATATGTTGGACTTGGAGAACATAAATATCATGTTTACAGTTTTTTTGCCAACACCTGCCATTTAGCATCGAGTCCCTTATTACACTATTGATTTATGGAAAAAGAGCTATGTTTTGCAAGCCTACCCTATGGAGTGCATTTCAGAGAATTTAATGTGCCTTGGGTAGGAGGCAGTATTTATTCATTTGCGTCCCCTGCTATCAGATGACCAATTTGTTAATATTAAGAAATTTTGTGTCTATGGGATTAACATTTACTGTTTAGACAGTAGTTTTATAAAAGTAATATGTTATTTCTTTGGTTTGTCAATGAGTGAGCAAAAAAAAACACTGGAGAGTCCTAAATTTCCTATGTAACGTGGTCAAATTTCTTCACCTCTCAGAATCAGTTTTTTCTTTTGTAAGATAAGGTGATTGAAGTAGATTACCTTATAATAACTTTCTATTTTGAATTTTAATCACAGATGATGAATTGGCAAAGTAGAAGTTACTCATAGGTGATATACACACATGTGCATGTGCGGGGGTGCATGCACACACACCCCCTCCCCCGACACACATTCTTGACTTTTATTCTTTCCAGGATGTTTCTCAGGATTTTTTCCATGAATTATTTTCTCTGTACTGTCCTTGAGTAATTACAATTTTTGCATTTTTTATGTGTTCACTTATTTGTGTGTATTTCCCATTTCCCATTAAAGAAGAATTTCTAAGAGGACAGAATACCAACTATCCAGGGTCTAAGGCTTACGTTAAGAGCCTGACAGTTATAAATGTGCATAATTAATATTCATTGAGTAAGTCAATGAAATAAAGTTTGTTATTTGCAGTGCTCCAGGAAAACACTGTGTTAAAGATTATCTAATATTCTCCTAAAAATTTGAGGTAGTTTAAACTATGATCTCCTTTTTGACTAATGAAGAAACTATATATCTGCCATAAATGCAAGAAGATTAAGTTCTCCTATAAAATTTATTAGATTGAATATTTAAAGCAAACCTATGACAAAATGAAAAACAACAAGTTAATGATATACCTCATGAGACACAAAACAAAATGACACAACAGTTTGATAAAACAAGAGATGAAAAAGCATCCACCAGAAAATTCTAAAACAAAAAAAAGCCAAGCATAGTTATATTATCAGAAAAAGTAATTTCAGGTCAAAAACATCAATAGTGAAAATAGTAGTAGTCTATAATGTAATTAATCTGAAGATACAATAGTCATTGCCAGGCGCCATCCTGACTTGTTTACAGACTCTAACAATGAACTTATTTTTAATTACAAATATACAGATGGATATACACACAAATATGTAGGTGTATATTGTAAGAATGTAATTACAAGTAAAAATCAAACAAACTAAAGATTATTATAGATATAAAGTATTAAACAATTAAGAAGTCTGATCTGAACCTTACTCTTCAATTTAACTGTTGCTGCTCTGCTATTCTTTTTCTTTACATCTACTTTCTTGAAGTATCCTTAGATTAAGATGCACCAGTCTTGAGTGTACTATCTAATGTGTTTTGACAAACCATATACACGTGTAGCAATCTCCTCAATGAAGATCAGAGCATTTCCATTACCAGAGAGTTCTCAAGAGACTCCCCGCATTTCAATTCCCAAGCCCTTTCCTCCAGACACAACATTGACCTAACTTCTATTACTAAACTGTGTTTTGCCTATTCTTGAGCTTTTATAAATGAAATGACATACAATATCCTTTATTCAGGCTGGGTCCTTGAAATGCAAAGTCTTTGAGATTCACTGATGCTGCTTGTTTCAGAAGTTCATTCCTTTTTATAACCATGTAGAGATATATGGATTTACCACAATTTGTTTATTCATTCACTTGTTTATAGATATTTGTTTCATGGCTAGGGTTTGATTATTATGGATGGTTCTGTATGAATGTGTAAATATAAGAATTTTTAGACATAGGCTTTCATTTTTTTCTGGGTTAAATACCTAGGACGGGATTGCTATGTCATGTAAGTGTAAGTTTGACATAAGAAACTGCCAAGCTTTTCTAAACAAGTGATTGTATCATTTTAAATTCTGCCCAGGGATACCCAAGAGTTCCAGTTATTCTACATTCTTGCCAGCACCCATTTTCATCATTTTAATGGGTGTGAAATGGTATCTCATTATAATTTTAATTTTTATTTCTCTGATGGTGTGTGATTTTGATGATATTTACATATGCTTTCCCAATCAAATGTTGTTACAAAGACTCAAGTCTTTATCCATTTTTTTTTAACAAAACTGGGTTTTGGGTATTAAGAAATTTGATCAAATTATCTTATAGGCATATTTGAAATGACATAATGAATGCCTTTATCATGCATAATTACAATACACCAATAAAATTTTTAAAAGAACCATGATATTTTTATATATGCTGGATGTATCTGTGGGAGGGCAGACTTCATGATCTTCATGCCCTAATCCCTGGATTCTGTATCTATGCTACATTACATGGCCAAAAGCATTTTACAGATGTGATCAAGGTTAGGGAGATTATCTGGGGTTATCTAAGTTTACCCAATAAAATCAAATGAGCCCTTCAAAGCAAAGAACTCATCTGACTCAAGGCAGAAGAGATGCTGCAGAAGGAAACGTCTGAGAGATTTGACTTTTCTTTTAAGTCCTTCTTGAAGAAGGACTTAGTATGCCATTGCTGATTTAAAGGGGACAGAGTGACAAAGAATATAGGAGCTAATAGAGACTCCTGGCTGACATGAGCAAGGGATGAGGACTTCAGCCTTACAGCTCCAAGTGACAATGCTTCCCACAACCTAAAGGATCTTGAAAGTGGATTCTTCCCTAGAGCCTTCCAGCCAAGAATCCAGAGTGACTGACACCTTAGTTTTAGCCT